GCTGATCCTGAGCTAGCCAGGTCATGCCCTAGAGTTCATAGCAGCCAACACAGTAGCTATTTGTTGTTCTCAAGCACTGCATTGCACAGTTGGCTTGCCCAGCTCTGTTGTGCTGCTCTGTAACTGAAGGCAGGGAAGAGACTGGGGTGGTTTCCATCTGGTTGTGCAGGGAAAAGGATGCTCCTGGCTGCCATTTCTGCCCTGTCTAACAGAGGTGCTTTGCCAAGGCCATCCCCATTCTGCTTCACATGCCAATGATCTTCTGCCTGACTTTATCTCACTGCTTCTTGGGGAAGATGAATGTGTTCTCTAAAGTGGGGACACTGAGAGCCCCTGCTCCAGCCAGCAGATATTTGGTGGTCGCTGGATAATGCTTCTCGACAGTAAGAGGAAGAATTGGATATTCTGAATCTTATTGCCAGTCATAAACCTACTCTCTCAGGGCAATTTCATCATTGTGCAGAGTGCCAGGACAAGGCACCAATTAAATCTTTGGTGGGTAAGCAGTACACATACCACAGTACTGGCCTTTCTGCTCTCTGCAGTATTGCTGTGCTTCCTGCCACCAGCTGTCTGTTCAGAGAGGCACGGAGTTAATAGATAACCATGGCAGTCTATTCAGTGTGTCCTTTATGATGGTCAAATCTGATGGTCAATTTTTTTATTGCTAGGATCTCAGGTATGTTTACTATGGACAGTGTTCGTTGACAATTTAGAGTCCAAATAATGCATAGTCTTCCAATTCCCCTCAAAACTAATTCCTTGCCTTCTTTATTACTTATGTGTTAGCTACCCTATTTTTAGAAGACTAATAAAATACTATAATAGTTGTAATCCTAGAGCTATTTTTGTCCTGCATGATGCAGAAGCAGGTGAACTCACATAGGGATCACTGAATCTTCAGTGAAACGTAGGTGTCTCTAAGGTAGCTTGCGGCTGCTGCTGTAGGCTTTGAGTTGAATAGCTTTGTAAGAAGCTGACTGGGAAAAAGCTCCCATTTTCACTTGGCAACAGGGAAGAGGAGAAAAATGATTCAAGCTAACCAAAGTGCTAGTGGGAGCATGACTTCTGTCATGAAAAGTTCCTCTCTAGATGAGATGAAGTGCCTGTTTCTTTTCCTCTAACTGGACAGGAGGCCTCAGGGCCCAAGCTCATATTTAGATGTCTAACTCTGAGATGATGAGCTTACAGCAATGAGGCCACCCTTCATGGCCAGAATTTGCCAGGATCTTTGTGTAGGCCATGGCCAAGGGCAGATCTCCATGTTTCCCATTGTAATCTGGAGATTGGCACTCCAAACTGCCCTCTGGGGGACTCTTTATTTTGGCTGAAAAGGTATTTTGGGGGATCCTATTCTGGCCAGGCTGAAGGTCTCCTTGTGAATTCTATCCCCCAGAGCTTGCAGACAACATATTCCCCATGGCTTACTCCTCCACTGGCACTACAGGAGATAATTAGTGCGTGGCTAAGTCATATGTGCTGAGGGTCAGAAAATACAATGAGGCAGATTTTCCCCTGGAGTAAAGAAATGTCAACAGAGTTGCACTACAGTGAAATGATGGCATCTGTCAGGGACCCTGGCCCTTTCACTGAACAAACAGCCCAGGGCAGTGCCTTCCTCCAGAAGAATGGCATCGTCTGGCAGCCAGGCACCCTCCTGAAAGCACACGACAGGGTTTTCCCAGGGGCTAGTGTCCCCAGGAAACACTTTGCCCAGAAGAGCAGAACGGGACTTGATACAAAACTCTTGTGAGCAATTTAATTCCTCTTAGTGCTAATATTTGGTATTTATTTAAAAACACACCTCAGCTGTCAAATAAACAAAATGTCTACCCTCGGGGGCAACAGGAAGAAGAACACAAACTTGCAAAACTGATTTCCTAGGCAGTTTGAGGTATTTCAGAAGCACCTGAAGATAGTAAAATAGAACAGAGTTGGACTGGTCATCTTTCTCTTTGCCACACATAGGTCTGGTAAAGTCTAATCTGTTTTACATTCTCAGTTAAGTTCATCTAGTGCACAAATATTATCCATGTGAATTAAAAGGTGCATGACTAATGCTGTGAAACAAGATATTTCTCTGACTGTTTACGTGCTTACTGGAATAGGGAAATTCTCTTTACTGTATCTATGTTCTACATTAAATCTCATCTGCTTCCGTACCTTTCATCTCTCTCCCTGAAGTCTGTTACTTGACATTATACATCATACTCCTCAGACCATGGGTCTGGGCTTAAAAAGCAAGAAAAACTCATGATTTTTCAAGGGGATCTTGCAATCCAGGCTAAATTCGACAACTGTGATAGAAAATAAAAATAAGCTCTTTTGGCAGTACAACAATCTTGAGCATTAAAACAAAATAATCCTCTTTCGTTTCACCTTGATGCTGAGGTTCTATAAATACCAGCATTGATTTTTATTCTGATCACATTCTCCTCCAGTTCCAGGTAAAAGACCACATGTCTCTCATCATGTTCTTGGAGATGAATCTGTCAAGTATGACCCCTTTCATTAGCTTTTTGTGTCACTAAATTACTTACTAATTTGTATCTTTGGGACTTAAAAACCTTTATCTGGAAATGATCGCATACCTAGGTGATATTCTAATGCTGTAATGGATTTTTCCAGTTACTGCATGCAGTGAAACGTGCTGTGCATGTGAGATCATGGTGTGGCCAATAATCATTAGAATATCTGTCCTCCGGCAGCTGAAGGCGGCATGTTCATTAATGCTTTCAGCTATGCACCAGATATCCTCAACATGCTGGTGTGCAAGGCTGGTGTTCTCTACAGGATTCTAGGTTAAAGCTCTTCAAAGCTGTGTAAGCACCACTGTCTTGCTGCTTTCAACACGTGCTGCTTTTCTTTTTGTGTTGCAGCAGTAGCTGCAAGCCTGGCTAGAGGTGGTTTATGAACAGATGGAGTGTTCTGTCACTGAAGGTTGAGACAACTGAGAGAAAGTAATGGCTGTGCTGAGGGCAGTCTTGCTGGGAATCTGTGCAGTACTACTGGGAGCCCACCTTGACCCTTTGTTTTTACTATACCCATCTCTGTTGAGGGAGAGGGGAACGTGGTCCTGCACCGGGCACTACAGCCCTGCAGTGCCAACAGCCTCCTTCCTCAGGTGCCCATCACACCTCCCCAGTAAGAAGCAGCACCCAACTGTCAGGGCCCTGGTGGCCCTGAAATGCTTTGTGTCTCCTGGGTGCATGTTAACTCCTGAGGCATCACAGTGAGGGCCATAATGCCCAGGACTATTTATTGCAGATTACCCTTGGAGACCTGAGAGATTTCAGGGAAGTATCCCACACTGGGAGCCAAGGAAGTTTTGCACCACACTGAATCAGCCTGCTAGTTTAGGTCCCCTTGTTTGAATGTGTTGGCCCAAATAAATGTCTTTGTACTGTGGATTATGGGAGACCTCAGATTAGAGGGATTCAGGAGGCACACATTCATTTAAAAATTGCTCCACCTGGGGCCCAAACTCATGCAATTGGACACTTGACTGCATCCTGCAAAATAAGGCAGCACCTGTATCCTGGGAGCTGTACCAAATCATCTCCAAGTGTTTTTAATTTACTAATATAACCATTGAGATGTTCATACTGTGCCCTTGTGCCCTGGCTCTAGTAGAACAATATGTCAGGGTGTTAAAAGAGATGTCAGTGTGCTTCTGTGAAGGAATTTGCATGGAATGTCTTTTCAGCAGTCTGAAAAAAAAAGTCTTTCTTAGATGACATATGTAACTTTGCAAATATTTCCAAAGTTAATGATTATTTTCCACATAAGAATAATTTTATTTGCCTTCAGAAATGTAGGCCAGGCCAGTGGGACCTCTTTTTAAAGCTGTCAGTGCTTACAAACTTCTCAGTCTAGTTGCTGTATGACACGGACCTGAGAAAAAAGCTTGTAGACAAAAGGGTAGAAAGCAGGGAGAGATATTCCCACCAGAAGAGAACACAGGATGTTTTTTGATAAACTGTCTAAACCAGAAGGAAATCTAGTAAAACAGAAGGCCTGATGAGGGAGTGAGTCTCAATCAGCCTTTGGTGTGTGTTGAAGGCCGCTAAAGATCTCTGTTGAACTATTTAACAAAGGGTTTTGCCTTTTAGTCAGAGGCATTCTGGAGAATAAGACATCAGTCACAGGTGGTGGGAAAGGTGATGCTCTTTTTCCCTGTACCACCACAGAGCTGCTCCCACTCCCATGAGACATGGAGCACAGGTTGTTGGGTCACATGGGAAGTCATCACATACGGTGTCTTCTGCTCTTTCTAGGTGCTTCTGACAATAAGATGATCATGTGGAGTTCAGCCTCACGTGTTTGTAGTGCATTGGAGTATGTGTATTTGGGGCAGACAAAGTACTTGTCCCGTTTGTTTGCCTGGATAAAGCTACAAGCTATTTGCTAGGTCAAACCACAGAGCTGTGGTTTGCAGGATGGAATACATGGGTGCACTACCCTATAACCATAGTGTGCGTGTTTGAGATAGAGTGTGTGGCACTGCTGGAGATGGGCAGGGGGGCCTGCCACAAAAGTTGAGCTGCTTCTTTGCTGAGGAAGGTGCAGAATGTGCTGCTCATCTCCCCATCTCCTTTTGCAGGCAGATCTTGCTGTCCTTCATTAAAGTGGCTTTTCTCTGGTACAGGAGGTCTGTTTGCTGGGGAGTTGGGGCTCTTGCGTTCAACCCCTCGTGAGACTTCTTGACCGTCCATATGTGGCCTTTCTGAAAATGAGAGCAGATGCCAGACCAAACCATGGCATCAGGCTAAGAGCAATGGGATCAGAGGAGATGTTCATTTAGGAAATCATGATGGCTGTGATTCCTGGGAAGGGTCTCATTTGAATCCTGACCTGGTCTATTCAGCTCGTGAGACTGGGCAGCCCATCTCTTCCAGAAGGGGTGACTTACTAGGCAGTGTAGTAGGGCCAGGAATGGTTATCAATTTATGAAGATGGTTAGCAACTGAATAAGAAATGTCTGCTGTACTTTTCAACAGAAAGATTTCCAGACTGCAGTTCAACAAGGTGAAGCTGGAAGATGCTGGGGAGTACAGCTGTGAAGCGGAGAACGTTTTAGGGAAAGACACCGCAAAAGGCAGCCTGAATGTGAGAAGTGGTAAGTGAAGAAGCCAGCAAATGTCTTGAGCCATCTGTCATTCAAGCAGAAAGTGGGAGGTTCTGCACGTGATCTATGATTTTGTTTCATGCTTTCAGAGTATCGAGTAAAACAATCTTGGGAGATAAGAAAAATTGCAGCTTAGCATAAATGTTTATCTTTGTTATCTGTCACTAGCAATGTGGTTAATTTACATTTTAAATAAACTTACAGTCTATGTATTTTTTAAAAGGGGCAAGGAGGAAAGAAAAATGGTGAGCTTGATGTTTTATTTTTTTTTAAGAATTTCTGAGAAGCAAAACTCACCAGAACACAAGTAATTAAACCATAGCTTTGTGATGAATGAAGTTGCTTCTGGTTTTCATCCTAGAATGTGTGCTCCATCTCTTAGAGCTCAGCGGATGGAGTCTGAGGTTAGGTGGTTTTATTATTATCTTGGTTATAATAATTATATTGCTTAACATGATGGTTTGGATGCACCCTCCAGCTCAGAAAGTCCCCACAGTGGTTGCCAGAAGCTGGACGGGTGTGACCAGGGGAGGGATGACTCTGTACAAGCTCTGTTGCCTAAGCTCTTCCTCCTGCCGTTCACAACAGCCACTGTGGGAGCCTAAGCTCTCTGCGATGCAGCCTGTTGGTGCGATACTTTTTCTCTGCTGTTGTGCTTTATTAGCACTGGTCACATGTGAAGGAAGGTATTTTTCTCCCACTGCTTTCTGGCATTGTTTTTCTCTATTAACCTCTGCCTCAGCAGTGCTTGCAGTCATGAGTCTTTATTTTGTGAGGCTGGAAAATCACATAGCCTCCTCCTCAGTTGCTCTGCCTGTAAAAAGCCAGTGCTTGCAAAACCTGGGGAAGACAACCCATGCTCAGACCTTCTGCCTGTGAAGTTAGCTTTGCTTCCTTTCCAGCCATGACAGGAAAGGTGTCCAGAGTAAGCTAACTGAAGCAGTGCCACTCCTTTTTTCTGACTCACACGCTGTCTGTCCCATTGCAATGCAAACAGTTCCAGCTGCATGCACGGGCAGTGAGTGCCTTCCACCAGAGCCCTGTGCACCAATTCGGCTCCTTCTTTCCAGCCACTAGCAATCCGCTTGCAAAGGAGGAAGACTGATTGAATAGTGCCTGTCACAGCAAGGCCCTGAGCCTGCACACTGCTTATGGCACATCTGGCCATACAACTACCAGCTGACTCTTCCTGCGTGTGTGGGTAACGGCTGCATCTGGCAGGGTGCAACTCTTCCTTCTCAGGAAGGCAATGTGTCTGGCAAGGGCAGGAGCAGGTGGCTTTCTCATTCATGTTGCAGGGAGTGTGAGGACACGCCTGAGTTGCTTAGAAATGTGTTAAGAGTAGAAAAGCAACCAAAGACACCAAAAGATCTGCCCAGTACCTTTGCCTAGTGGGAGCTGCAGGCTGCAAGGTGCTGCAGGTCTAGTAGACAAAAGATAGCCCAGCTTGTGGTGGTGTCTTAATAAATCCATTTTATAAGGAGCCTTGAAAATCTGCCTCTGGCTTTCAACACTCAGCTGCATGCATACCTCACTGCTGCTGTTTGAAGGTCACCTGGCAGAGTAGCAGGTATTTGCAATTAAATGCTAGTTGCATCCTTTGCAAAGTTAAACAAGATGATGATGAAGATCACTGTAGACTTTTGCCCTTCTGTCACCCTCTTTGCACTCTTCTGTTGCTGCTCCCTGGAGCTACCCAGAGCACAGCAGCCTTCAGCTGTGCCTGTGCACTTCTCGCTCATGGAGTCTCCTTCTTTCATTCCCTGTTGTCCCTACTGCTGGGCTTTCTTGGGACTTGGACAGCTTTCCTCACCTCACATCTGCACACTCCCTTCCTCCATGATTTCTTTCAGTAGAAAACTCCCCAAGGCATCTGATTGCCTCTGAATCCATGTGTGTGCACTCTTCTGTCCCAGCCTGCATTGTTCTTTGGGTTCCTTAGCACTGGTTGTGTTGTGGCTACATCTCGACACTGCTCTGTGAAAACTCTAGGGAGTCTACAGCAATTAATCAGAACCGTGTGAGCTGGCCTCTCCTTGGAGCCTTCCCCTCTTTCCCTCAAGCTCACTCCAGATATCAGTTGCACAAGGGATCATTTCAGTCATGCAAATCTGTTGCAAATCATCAAAAATGCCACAATGAAAAGAGATTTTCTTTAGAAAAAGAGTGGCCACAATGTGGAGATCAGTAATGAGTGGTATTCCTCAGGGGTCAGTATTGGGACCAACACTGTTTAACATCTTTGTTGGTGACATGGACAGTGAGATTGAGTGCACCTGCAGCAAGTTTGCCAATGACACCAAGCTGTGTGGTGAGTTTGACATGCTGGAGGGAAGGGATGCCATCCAGAGGGACCTGGACAGGCTTGAGAGGTGGGCCTGTGCAAACCTCATGAAATTCAACAAGGCCAAGTGCAAGGTCCTGCACCTGGGCCGGGGCAATCCCAAGCACAGATACAGGCTGGGTGGATAATGGATCAAAAGCAGCCCAGAGGAGAAGGACCTGGGAATGCTGGTTGACAAGAAGCTTGACATGAAACAGGAATGTGCACCTGCAGCCCACAAAGCCAAATGTACCTTGGGCTGCATCAAAAGAAGCATGGCCAGCAGGGTGAGGGAGGTGATTCTCTCCCTCTGCTCTGTTCTTCTGAGACCCCACCTGCAGTGCTGTGTTCAGCTCTGGGACCCTCAGCACCAGAAAGACATGGATGTATTAGAACAAGTCCAGAGGAGGGACACAAAGGTGATCAAGGGGCTGGAACGCCTGTTCCACAAAGACAGGCTAAGGGAGCTGGGGTTGTTCAGTCTGGAGAAGAGCAGGTTCTGGGGAGACCTTATTGCAGCCTTCCAGTACCTAAAGGGGGCTACAGGAAAGCTGGAGAGGGACTCTTTGTCACGGAGTGTAGTGATAGAACAAGGGGTAATGGCTTTAAATGGCTTTGAGCAGCCTTATTGAGTGGGAAGTGTCCCTGCCCATGGCAGGGGAGGAGGGAGAAGGGTTGGGACTAGGTGGTCTTTAAGGTCCCTTCCGACCCAAACCATTCTATTATTCTATGGTAATGTCATGACCCCTTGTCACTTAGAAAATGCTCATCAGCCAAACCCAGTAGCTCATCTCTTCTCTGCAGTTATGGTATTTCCACAGAATGCCCAGCTCAGAAATAAAAGCTTTCCCATTGAAAAGTTTTGGAAGGGTATCAGTTTCTGAGGAAATGCTTCTGGGTTTTAGTAAAAACATATTGTGCTTTGGTGCTATTTTCTGATTTTTATTACTTTGAGGTAAATTAGCTGCATTCTTAGAAAAATGTCCCATTTCCCAGTCCTCTTTATTGAATAGTCCAATATTGGCATCACAAGTAGGAATGAGAGAACAGCTGAGATGTGACAGTTTTAGACTCTTTTTTTTTTTCCTCAGAAAATTTCTAGACAACTCCTAAACTCATATCCCACCACCCCCTTTGCTAAACATCACAGGAAAAAATAAACTTATCCGAAAAGTGGTTTTGCTTTCCTTTTAATTTACCTTTTCCCAGTGGTCTTACCATCTGTCTCTAAAAGGGTGCTGTGCACACAGCAGAGGCTCCTGATACTTTCTCCTTTGCACATCTTGAGGGTCATGAGGGGCTTTGACCAAGAGGGGGCTTTTGCTGCCAGCTGGCTTGAACGGAGCTGGTGACTGTGGATGATGGACTTCCCCATATCCTGCTTTATAAGGAGAAAATAGCCTTCATCTGTTTACAATTCCTCCATCTCTTGTAAGAGAATTACTTTGTGCTGCAGAACTGCAAATAGTTATAGGGTGGAAGCTCGTCAGACCATCTCACCTTTTCCTAAGCTCCATGTTTTTCTCCCTGTGTCTGTGATCTCGTCTTTGCACTCTTGTGGCCATCAGGGTTAAGAAAACCTTCTGCAGTTTCACTTGTCATGTGCCTGGTGACTCCTGAGCCATTTCTGCCTTTTTATCATGATAGCATGAGTCCCTTTACAGCAAGGGGACCGAAATGCCCTGTGCTATACCCCGCAGAGGCACTCATTTATCTGTCTCTTTCACACAGTTACCCATCTGAGCGTCCTCTAACCACTACTAACATATCGATAGTCTCCTCAGCCTGTGCCACCCAGCAGCACCTGCTCTTGTCCTCCTCCCTGTAGTAGCTAAGCCCAATCTTCTCAGCTCAAAATAGATATTTTGTTCACTACTTTCTTACCTTAATTTTCCCAGGAACAACGAAAGCACCACAAGTTTTACCAGCCTCAGAAACTAAAATAGTTGTTATGGAAGAAGAGTGTAAGTACTTCTCTCCCCACTCCCCATATAGTTTCTTTCCCCTTATTTGTTTTGTTTTTATGAGACAATTTACATAAATGCTTTATTTCCTCCTGGAATCTTCTTTAATTGCTACTTCTCTTTGATTTCTCCAAAGCTCTGATCTTTCACTAAATCTTTCAAAATACAATTTATATTGCTGGTGTCCATCTTAGAGAGGAAAAAGGTCAATAACTATTACAATGGTAACCTGAAGAACATGCTACTTAAAATTGGAGATGGATTTTAAACGTTTGCAGCTCTTTCAATGTATGTTTTTTTTTTTTTTGACACTTGTAAGATGTCATTGTTACAGCCTTGGGTTTAGGGATTTTATTTTTATGAGTCTAGGTAAGAAAAAAAAAAGGCTACAGGAAATACAAGAAAGGAGACACAAGCCTTCTAAGAATAAGTCAAAAGAAAAAGGCAGAAAACACAGCTGTACCCTGCTGGCACATTATTTCTTGAGTCTCTGCAAAGCAAGAAAAGATTTTCCCAAATGTTTAATTTGATTTGATTTGGTGGAAGTGCTTTTTAGCATTCCCTTCTATTCAGTTGTCATGAGTGCTGTAAAAAATAGGCACACAAGTAAAAATCAAAACATGGAGCAATGTATACAAGTGCAAATCTAGAAGCCTGGCTGTTGGTTCAGCTCTTTCTAATGGAAGGCATTATTTCTACCATGGAAAGTCTCTCCCTGCTCATGGACACTGCGGCACACAGAGATTGTCAGCATGCTGGATAGCCCACTGGGATCCAGTCCAGATGTAAAGGCACCAGAGAGCTGAGGACTAAGAATTTATTTCAAGATCTGTGCTATATTTTTATTCCAGCTGCTCACACCCTGAACTGGCAACACAGCTGGCTGTGCCTCTGTATTGACAATTCCACTTAGCAGATTTCATGAGAATGTTTTTTGTTTGGAAAACTCAATCTTTTATTATTTTAAAAGAAATCTGATTCTATGCACAGCCGGGACTGGTCAGGTATCCTTTAAAAGCTTTTCTGATTAGAAGATTCCACTTAAAATTTGCTCCTTCATTGTTCTTAGCCTTCCACTGCAACAGTGACGTAGTACTGAGATGTAGCAGCATGTACTGTACTGTCCTTCCTCAGGATTTTTCCTTTGGGCTCATCAGCATAGGTCCATGCAACATATTTGCATCACATTAGATATATGCTAATTTCGCTGAAAGCAAAATTTCAGCAATAGAAAGGAAACATGCAAAATCACCATGTGGCCTCCACAGAAGTTTCTTCTATTGAAAAATCTTTTCCTCTGCTTTCTCAACATAGAAATGTCAACCTTGGCTGCCTGCTTTTTTTCTTAATGGTATAAAGAAATGGTAAAGTCTCCGTAGTTAAAACTATAATCGACTTTTTCCTTTACATTCCTTTTTTATGATTGCTCTCAGCTGTTACCTAATCATAGTCCCCCTGATTTTCATACATGATTGCTACTGGTCTATCACAGAATTGCACGTTTCTAATTTATGGGGAAGTAATGAAAATGTTGTGAGGTGTGATGATCTGGAAGGATGACAAGTGTCTCATTGTTTTAAAATTCTTGTAATTCTTTTAAATATTTATATTCATAAGCTTGTCTGGCAACATAGGTTGTCCCACCTTTCATTGTTTCACTTAAAGGTTGTAAATGATCCACTGGATTGTAAACACCATCTTGAGAAAGCACCATGGAAGCTGGAGCTTGGTGATAGCTGCAGTTCCCTGGGAAAGGAGAGCACCTTGTGCAGGCAGCTTGGTCACATCTTTACATTTCTGTTTGGACCCTGGTGCAAGGTGGGCATGTTACCAGGCAGGCTGGGTACAGGTGTTAGACCCAATAACTCCAGAAGATCACCATGTCTTCTATGTGGCTCAGATGGTCCCTATGGGTAAAAGGGTAAAATCCAATCACTCTGTGTAGCCCCATGTGCCTCACCCCCTATCTCCCTGCTGCTCCTGTTGTATATGTTTTTAACTAGTATTTTTCTGTAAGGTCCCAGGTTCTTCCTGGGTGATCTGGCCTTCCTTTCTACTACTGCATTTGGAACAGGAATCACGTATCTCCCCCTTGGAGTACTGTTAAGTATTGTTTAATACTTACCACCTCATAAATGTAGCTACTAGCAAATCCTTCCACATCCTGAGTCACCCCTAACTTCTTCCTCTTCAATAGTGGCCACAGACCCCTAGGCACTTCTGCACACTTGACACAAGGCAGGTTTAAACACCAGATACTCAAACATAACCCAGGTCTTCAAGGTGTTCTGTCTCTGTTCTTGGGTAATTATTTTTTTTTCTCTATAAGCATATGTTTTGTCCTACTGTTTTCCAGCTCAACATCTTCCCATGCCTAACTGGCACTTGACACAAAGCTACAGAGTGCAAGGGTGCAAGCTTCCACCATAAATTCTCAGAAATATTTGTGTCATTATGATAGTGTGCGTGGGATCTCTTTCCCAGCTACTGTACCCCTTGCCTTTAAGCTGGCTGCAGCAGGACCTCTGGTTCTCTTTGACAGGGTACTGGTTGATATGGGCTTCACAAATCTTATAACAATATGTAGAAACTCAGGGATCTCATGGTCCTTCTGCTGTAGAGACAACCCTGATGCTAGTCTGGACTAGGGACTAAAGACAGCAAACTCAGAAGTTCTGGATTCAAATCTGCCTTGCAACCTAGTCCAGCCCATGTGGGTACAATGCTATACTCAGAGTACTGGATCCTTGCCAGGCAAAGAGACGTGTTTCCTGGTGCCCCCGCTACAGGGTATGTGCATGGGGCACCACTCATTCAGTGGTGTGAACACCTTCAGATGAGATTCAGTGCCATGCAGCAGATGTAACAAGCTGTGCCATGGAGTATGTTGAGAGCTGTTCTGGTCTTATAGGTGTAGTGTTGATCTTTTGTATGCACGGCCAAGCCAGATTCTGAAGGCCAGATTGTGAAAGAGAATCTCCAGTGTCTAAGAAAGTCCTTCTGTGTTGCTGCATATTTTAACATGATATGGCTGTCTTACACCTTCTCTGAATATATGTTTAATTCTGATAATTGTTGGACTAGAGAAGCCATAGATACGCTTTCTTAAAAAAGCACTGTGGCTTAGAAGAGAAGATAAGCCTACTGCTCTTATAAAGGAGTCTTCCTATTGAGTCTAGTAAGTGTGAGATAGGTGCAGTAGCCTTGTCCATAGTGAAAAAGTGTTAAATAAGACGTGTCATCTTATGTTTGTCACAGGCTAGGAGTTTGCACTGGATGGCTACAATGGCTCAGCTCACATGCAGGAACTTGCAGGGGTAGAGTAACTTGATTGCGTGCCTTGATATGGAGAGAAAGGTCCTTTATACTCATTTCAACATCCAGAGTACTCAAAATGGTAATGTGATCCTGTCACGGTGCAGCTTGAAGCAGATCGACAAAGGTTCAGGAGTCTGGCTACAGATCTTCTTGGTAAACAGAGTAGGAGTCATTCTCAAAGTTCATAAACATTTTGATGGAGACAAAAATGGAATAAATTTCAGAGCAATCTGTAGAGCAGTCTGTAGAGCATTCTGAGGTGGAAGGTCTATGCAGGACAAAGATACTAAAATGTTATCAAAGTTTCATTTTTAAAAGGTAAGGTAATGTTTGAAATCTGAAAAGGTCAAGTAACCTCTTTTGCTCATTTTCTGCTGTTGAGTTCACCTCTAGTTCCTTTGCTCTATTTGGACAAACAGTTGAACTCTTAAGGGTAAAAAGAGAATATAGACTATTCTCTCTGTGTAAACAAAGAGGATCTGACAATGATGGGCAGGTGCTCTGAAACAACATGTGGATCATTGCAGCTGCTCATCTGGACTCTGCTTCATCTCCTTTGTCTGGGACACTGTCTAGCTAATCTGGTTGAGTGCCTTTACTTCACCAGCCTGTGTGGGCTGGGCAGTGTTTGCTGGGCCACCTAATTTCACCCTATGTGTGCTCTGCAGCATAGTGAGGTTTGGGATCATATTAGAAGGTGGAAGACAGACAGAGCAAGAGAAGCAGAGCTGAATTGTGCTGGGAACATGAGGGTTGGGGGATAACGTGAGGCACTTCGATGAAAGCTGAGCTCTGGATTGATTTCTTGGGCTTTTACTTTAACCGCTGGGGATCATAAGTGCTACCTGAAGTCCCTTTAAAGATCCCCATGGAAGTTTAGGTGAAATAACCCTTCTTTCTCTGATTAAGTCCATCCTGCAGTGCACCAGTGTGGGCACACAGATTTCATAGCTGTCATCATAGTGATGTCATTGGACTTATTGGGTTGGACCCATTCAGGCTCTCCCTCTCCTATTTACTGCCATGTTTAGCATGGCTGGTGATGGGAATTCTTTCCTTACTTCCTCTCTCTCAAGTGAGATAAGCCTGGAGGACTGCCATGATTATAATGGCTCAGTGGTATCTTTTCTAAGATATGGTTTCTAAGTCACGTTTGATCACATCTAGTTGAACCAAAACTTCAACAACTTTTCACCATGGTAAGATGTGCTGAGCAAATTCAGCCAATTCCACCCACCTTTCCTCAAGTCCAGTCTTGCATGGGCTTTACGGGATAGCCTTGGCAGATCTACGCATTAATTGATAGGTTCGGTTCAATCTCGGTTCACTCCAGGTCTGTCCAGTCTGAAGGCACTGTACCCTCCTAGAGCTAACGGTGGTAAAAACATGAGCATGGTGCAGTTGGTTTGGAGCTGAAGGGTGTCCAGCCAGCACAGGGCACAGCTAGAGCAGATGGAAGTTGGCCTGCCAAGGGTTATGAGGACAGATCAGTTTTCAATATTAGACTAAAATAAGTCCTGGCATGACCTTTACTCAGATAATTTAAAACCATAAATTTAGGATCCAGAACTGGAGGTGTGGTTGATAATTGAGTGAAGCCTGCACACATGCAGGCATGATGCCTTGAGGTGGACGTGTTGGAGATCTTGCTGTTGGTCTGCAGAGATCGCTGTGTTGTGCCC